TAGCTCCATGGCCACCGCCATCTTGGTTGGGTTAATTGGCATACTTGCTCCTGATTGGCTGGTGGGCGTGGCTTGTGGGTATAGCGGAGTGACACCAATTTGCATGTTTCTCTTTTACTAGTGTAGACTAGAGGCCTGGTGCACAAAAAATTTGTGCACTCGGGGGGGGGGGGAGGGGGGTCCCTCAGCCCGGCCTGTGCCCTCTCGCAGTCTGGGACCCCTCGGGGGATGACCACCTGCTGGCTTAGGCCTGCTCCCCGAGGGATTGGGCCTAAGATGGCAATCAGACATCCCTCTGGCAGCCCGGCAGCCCTCGAGGGATGTCCACTTGCCAGTGGGGAGCAGACCTAAGCTGCAGTCAGACATCCTTAGCGCTGCTGAGGAGGCAGGAGAGGCTCCCACCACCACCGCTGTACTGGCAGCCATCAGCCTGGCTTGTGGCTGAGCAGAGCTCCCCCATGTGGGAGTGCACTGACCACCAGAGGGCAGCTCCTGCATTGAGCGTCTGCCCCCTGGTGGTCAGTGTGTGTCATAGTGACCAGTCATTCCCAGTCTTTCTGCTGTTAGGGTCAGTTTGCATATTACCCTTTTACTATATAGGATAGTGGCCTGGTGCACGGGTGGGGGCTGGCAGGTCTGCCCTGAAGGGTGTCCCGGATCAGGGTGGGGGTCCCGCTTGGGTGCCTGGCCAGCCTGGGTGAGGGGCTGATGGCTATTTGCAGCTAGTCACACCCCCTTCAGGGTGGGTGTCCCCACTGGGGTGCCTGGCCAGCCTGGGTGAGGGGCTGAGAGCTGTTTTCAAACTGGCCGGCGACTGAGGCTCCCAGCCTCTCTTTTTTTTTATTTTTTTATTCTGGGATTTATTTACCTTCTATAATTGAAACTTCGTTGCTGTCACTGGAGCTGAGAGCCGGCTCCAGCTCTGAGGCCGTGGCTGGCTGAAAGCAGGTATCTTGGGTTTGTTTAGCTTCTGTAATTGAAACATTGTTGCCATCCTGCTCGCTCCAGCTCTGAGGCCGCAGCCGGCTGAAAGCAGGTATCTGGGGTTTGTTTAGCTTCTATAATTGAAACTTTGTTGCTTTCGGAGCTTAGAGCCAGGCTGCTTAGAGCCGGGCCGCAGCAGGCAGGGAACCTTGGCTTCCTCCATCACTGGAGCAAGCAAGCCTCCTGCTCGCTTTAGCTGCGTGGCTGCCGGCCGCCATCTTGGTTGGCGGTTAATTTGCATATCACCCTGATTAGCCAATGGGAAGTGTATCGAAGGTATGGTCAATTACCCTTTTTGTCTTTTATTAGATAGGATATAGATAACCTCTGGAAAATTGAAGAGCAGAAAGGGAAGGTTCAGCTTCTAGTCACAATGCAATTAATTACCTTTTGGTCCCAGATACACACCAACTTATGAAAGATAAAGAGCAGCTCATGATTTTGCAGTTCATCCTCAGTATGGAGGGAAGAGCAAGTTAAGCTAGCAATAGAACAGGGTGGGAAGGAAGCTCTGTGGCTTTGAACGATTCGGGTTGAAGCATTAGCAAGATGTTTGAGATACAGCCTAAGTATCTCTTGTCTCTAAAGCCCAAGTGTGCCTGGAAGAGTTGTCTGCTCAGTTGTCTTCCAGTTCTCTCCTCGACGTCACTACTGAGGCGCTCATTCCTTGTCTTACCCCCTGTACTTACTAGTAGTTCTAACCTGGTGATCACTGTCTCCTATTGCAAACACTTTATTCTCTTGGCTTCTGGGACACCTCCCTAGTCACTTGCCTTTCCATTTGCCACTGCTAAAGTTAGCAGCCCTCAGGGCTATCTTTGACCCTCACACCCTAGGAGATAACATTTAAGTCCTCTCATGTTAACGTCATCTTCAGCCCCAACTTGCACATGAACTACCTACTCATGGGTAAGGTTGTCTATCTGACATCTTGAATGATGGTCATCTCACATTTAACATGTCTGAAATGGGCCTCTCTTTTTAAAAAATTTAAATTGTGTGCTCACCACCCTTCAAGTCAAGTCTCCTTCCATTACAATTTATCCCTCTATACCAAGCATGTCAATCTCGTGGCCCACGGGCCGCATGCAGCCCACAATGAATATTTTTGTGTCCCAGCCAATATAACAGTATGTAAGAAACGTTTTAATAAAAATTTCGTAACTTAATTTTTACAATATACCTGTTATACATAATTATTAATAACTAGCTGTACCCGGCCATGCGTTGCTGTGGCTCAGTCTGGTTAAATGGAAAAGAAAGAAAAGAGAAAGCGCATGTTTCTAATATGTTTAATTTCACAATGCTTGTGGGTATACAATATTTTTTGTTGTTCCATGGTCTGTGCAGATATAGAGATTGTCTGGTTTGCCGACTCTAGAACACACAACATATAATTGTCCATGTGAGAAGCAATCCGTGTCTAGATGTAAACCGCACAATTCTAAAGATTGGCCCTGAGCTTTATTGATGGTGATTGCAAACGCCAATCGAATTGGGAATTGCAATCTCTTAAATTGAAATGGCATATCCGTTGGAATCATAGGAATGTGAGGAATGAGGACATCTTCACCTTTGAAAGGTCCTGTCAAGATTGTTGCTTCTATGACGTTGCTCGTTAATTTTTTTACTGCAAGCAAGCCGCGTGCCGTTGCAAAGCTTTGGCTGGTTGATATTTCATAACA